GGAAGAGAATAAGTCCTTACCTTTTCTGGATGTTCTCATCATTAGAGAAAAGAATAAGTTAGAAAGAGATGTATATAGGAAGACTAAGGTTGGAATTTTAAAGTCAATGATTCTTTGAAGTATGAGGCTAGCTGATAGCAAACATTTGATTAAAGAGTTGGAGCAGCTGACAAATATATTCCTGGAAAATAATTATCCTTTGGGCCTAATTGAGAATAATATCTCTTTACTGAAGAATACATTTTCAGACGGAGACCATTTATTTAAAGAGACACAGAATGAGACCTGCTCCCATGTCCTAATTTTGCCGTCATGTTTTTTCTAAAAAAAGATAGACGAATTAGTTAAGAAGTGGGGCATAAAAACAGTGTTCAAAGAAACCCTCACACTTTATTTTATTATGCCATCTTTTTCCGTAACTCGACTTACATGCTTACAAGCTCTCAATTATACTTGCTTACGGACTTACGCAGTATCGGTAAGGGCTTTCTTTGAGGTCATTAGGCGTTGATGATCAGAGCCTAACTTTTTGATAACTCTGATTTACGATCGGTATTGCGTATAGACGCTAACAAACACGCATACACTTGAGTAAAAGTAGCAGGACAAGTATGAAAGATAATTAGCCAAACCACTCTATATCCAACTAGGTTTTTAATTTTTAATTTTCTTTTGGCTTATCTTAGTCTATATAAGAGATAAGAAAAAGCCGAATAGTCGTTTTGGCTTAGCGTTAACATTTGATTTTTACAAGAATGACACCCAGCTCTGATGATGTCCATTATATGATAGACGAAAGCTCAGCACGTTTTCACCCGAACCGAGGGAGAAAGTCCCGTGGACTGCGTCAATATATAAAAATCCACCCGGCTGCAGTACGAGTTTCATCCGTCCTCATCTGGTGAGATCGGCCAACGAATATCTTTTTCATGTCCTTTAATACGAAATGAAGCTTCCCCTAACAATGTTATCTCAGGAGATTCATCGAAACCCAATTTCTCTTCGTATCTACAAGTATGAAAAGAATTAGGCAAGCCACTCTATATCCATCTAGGTTTTTAATTTTTAATTTTCTTTTGGCTTAGCTGAGTCTGTATAGGAGGTAAGATAAAGCCGGATAGTCTTCTTGGCCCAGTGTTAACGAAAGCCTTTTACAAGAATGACGCCCAGCTCTGATGATGTCCATCATATGATGAACGAAAGCTCCGCACATTTTCACCCGAAACGAGGGAGGAAGTTTCGTGGACTGCGTCAACATGAATATCGTATAAAATCCAAACGGCTGCAGTACAACGAGATTCATCCGTCC